TAATTGAGGCAATAGAGGAAGGTATCTTTTGCTTTATGTCGATTCATTACTTTTGTTTTATGCACTTGTCCATTTTTCAACAGCTCATTGTATATCATGTATACGTTTTAGAATTGTGAAGAATGGGATTCTGTTCCATTTTTCCTTTTCTCTAGGTATTATTTTTTCTATGTTTACATGAGCCGATGGTCTATCGGAAACAACTTTTCTACCCTACAAGTTAGTGGTAAGGTCCGCATACACACCCCACTTGTATGTTGTTGCTTCTATTCTTCTATGTTGAAGGTCCCTATTTAGGTCCATGTACAACTCTGTCCCAATGGATAAACTGAAAACAAGGATTCACCATTTTATTGTTCTTTCAAATCAAAAAAAGAAAAATAAAGAGAGAAAAATCAAATAGATATCAAAATGCCTTTTCTCCATGTTAGCAAATCAAACTAACAAGAAATTGCAGAAAGTATATCTATTGAACTCTTGAAGAAATTGAACCAAAAGTCTTTTCAGAAAAAAAAAGGGTAATATGATAACTCTTGAAGAAATTGAACCACCAATAGTGGAGGCTAATATTGTTCAGTAGATTCTCAGATCAACAATTAAAACTGCAAAGCAAAAAAATAATCAAAAACAATAAACATTCAATAACGTAGTGATTGACATACATCAAAATTTAAATATACAAATACCATACATTAATAGAGCATTTTGCTTGTTAATTGGTTCTCTTCAAAAATATTTGCACTTGCATAGTTATATTTTTTAGTCTACACTTGTATATCCAATACAACTGATATGAGTTGTGGTGGGATAGTTGAGATTTTTCTACCATTATTTAAAATTTAGAAGCACGAGTTGTGGAATTTGGAATGGAGAAAAATATGTCAGGAGTCGCCCCTAAAATGTGCAAAAATTGATGTGGATACCTAAAATGAGTAAGAAAATAATATATCCACTATAAAAATATATAACACGTTGCTAATGAAAAAATTTACTATGAAAGAGGTACAACTTGTATTAGTTGTATGATGGTATTTTTTATTGCAATTATATTCTGATTTGTGGGATCCACTTTTGATTTTTATTTCTTTGCCTTTTGTTTCTCTTTCATAGTCTTTTTCTTTTCTTGTCAGTTTTTTTTTTTTTTGAAAAAAAATTATTTGAAAACCAATTCAATTACTCCTTCAATTTTATAATATAAATAAAAATATTTTTTATGGTTAAATAATTACCTAAGATATTAATAGTCAAATTTAAATACGAATATAATTCGTATTCGTATCATAGAATTAAACTATTTTTCATTTATCGTATTTTAAAATTTTCATCTTCTTAATTCATTTCTTTTTAACTTCTACTTTTAGGATCCTTTTAAACATAAAAAATATTTATTTTTTAAAAATAATCTATTTTTAACTCAAATTTCACTTTTGAAATTGTATTAAAGTACATTCAAATATGAACATCATTTCGAATATTTTTTACAAAAATCATTTTGAATATATATAAATTTAATTATATTTGTACTTAGCGATTAGAATTTTCTGACAAAAATATTTCAACAAATTTTCTTTTTGCCAATTCCTAATATTGAGAGATATAATTTTGGTAAAATTTCAATTTAGAAGAAAAAAAAGAAAAAAATGTTCGAAGTTGAAGAAGAATGATGTCCGGTATTTTTATTTTTATTTTTGGATATGATAAGCTTAAAGAATAGTGGACCCCATAATTCACTTTATTTATATTATTTAGTATAATTTTATTGGGTCATGTCAATTTTAAATCATATTTTCTCTTTCTTCCTAATGTTTGGAGATTTAAAGTCAAAGAATAGATTCGCTATATCCAAATGTCAAGAAATTAGTGGAGCCTCACATAACTTTTGTTGTTGTGCCTCTATCATACTAAAATTTTTCATTTCTGCTCTATTATTGTTTACCAAAATTGTTGTTGTGCCTCTACCATACTAAATTTTTTCATTTCTGCTCTATTATTGTTTACCAAAATTGTATTCAAACAAACAACAACTTTTAAGTAAAAAAAAATAAAAAAATCCCTAATAATTGATGGAGGTATATATTTTCATTTTGCATAATATTTTTTTAACGGGGTCAAAAATTAAACACCAGCCTTACAAAAGTCCACTCCACGTAAATTTCTGAAATTTAGTTGATCATAATAAGTTGAATAAATTCAATGTAGACACCGTATACGAATACGTATTTTACCGAAAATAGAACAACACTACTGCATGATGATGCAACTATACGGCAGATGCATGTATTCTTTAATATGTATGTATATCTAGTTGTTTGCGATAAATTTCTATGTGACAGAAAGTAAATAGCAATTAGAAATAAAATATGAAGAAACAAGAATATTTTATTGATAAGTAGTACAAATACAATTTTGTTCCTCCCCTTGATTCTTTCTGTCATAACATTTATCCCTCCCTTGATTTATTCTTTCTCTCATAACATTTATCCCTACCTTGATTTTTCTCTCATAACATTACCTTAGTGAGATATTTCTCGAACTAGGATTTGATCTCTTTATGAATATTTCATGAATTTGTGGAATATTCGAGATGCCTCTTTAAGGAATATAATACCCTTTATATAGGCATAAGCTAGGGTTTAGGGTTAGTAGCCTCCAAGAATTCTAAATGGAATCAAATACATCTCGTAGAATTTCAACACCTCTTAAATAATCCCACAAATTTTCAATGTCTATGGTAGTGTTGAACAATTATTTATTTGTTCAAATTGGAAAAGCTTAAAAACTAGATCTCTCTCTCTTTCTCTCTTAATATAAGTCCGTGAAATCATAATCCGCCCAATTCGCTTTGGTTTGAACTGATTATTGACTCATTTATTTATGAGCTCATATTATTTCAACCGATCAAAATTTAGGCTAATATCTAATCCAAATTGATCTATGAGAGATATGATAAGATATTTTCAGAAAGACATTTTTCATAATAAAGAAAAATAATAATTTTATTAGATACTAAAAAATTATAGAAAAACAAATAAAATATAGTAAGAAATGAAAGGGTTGAGTTTTGACTTGCCTGATAGTTTCACAAAAAAGTAACTTTTTGAACAGACTAATATTCCGCTTACTTATTAACTCAATTCATTTTGATCCATTCAAATTCAGTTCAATTGTCACCACTATATATAGTTGTTTGATATGAGCCTAAAAAAAGAAAAGCATACTTATCATTAAAAAAAATGATATCAACTATTTCAAAGAAGATTATCAAACCTTCTTCTCCCACCTCATCTACTCAAAGATGGCACAATCTTTCCCTTATTGATCAAGTTGTTGATAATTTGTATATGCCCTTTGTTTTTTCTATTCAAACCATCAAGTGGCTACAATCCCAAAAACACCAATTTATCAGAATTTCTAACAAACTCTTTGTCAAAAACTCTAACATCTTACTATCCATGGGGAGGAAGTCTAAAAGACAATACTACTATTGAGTGTGATGATCACGGTGCTGAGTTCTTCGAAGTTGAAATCAACTCTTCCATGGACGAAGTTATTCATAACCCTGATTTGACATTCCCTCAAGGTTTATCTTGGGGGTATTTGTCGTCATCGACATCTGGTGCCTTAATTGTTGTACAATTAAGCCATTTCGAGTGTGGAGGAATCGCGCTTAGTCTTTGCATGTCCCACAAGGTGGTGTTAGAGTTTACCCCGTATTTTACTTTTTTCTTTTTCTTCTGATTCGTTCAAGGTTTGCAATTATTAACTTCTGCATGCATGATGCATGTCTTGTTATTTCAAAACTAACAGGTGGGAGACGCATGCAGCGCTTACTACTTCTTGAGGGATTGGGCTAGGTTAACTCGAGATCCAAAATTAACATTATCTCCTCCATACTTTGTTCAAGATTCACTAATGCCATCAGTACCATTTGATGTTCCTCTGTTTTCCCCTGTTATTGAGCCAAAAAAGGAAAGATGTATTCAAAAGAGGTTTGTATTCTCTGAATCCAAGATAAACGCGCTTAAAGCCTTGGTTGTTGCAGAATCCTGCGTGCAAAACCCAACAAGGAACGAGGTCGTGAGCGCCCTCCTCTACAAATGCGCCGCTTCTTCTTCTACTACCAATTTAGGACGATCTCAGTTAGTCCAAACCTCAAACTTGCGAAGTCAAGCATCACTACCACCAACCAGCATAGGAAATATTGCCACTATATTTTCCACACCAATATATGAAAACTACGAACATGACCTCAAACTGCCAAAATTAGTAACCGACATAAGAAAGTCCAAACACGACCTGTCCACCAGAAATAATCTACAAGAAAATGAATATATCAGAGTGATGTTGGAGGCATATAGAACAGGGAAATTGCCATTCCATCAAAGGAATTGTGATGTTTATACTATTACTAGTATATTAGCATTCGAATTCGAAAAAATAGATTTTGGATTTGGGAAACCTACTAGAGCAAGCCAAGAAAGTGGTTCATTTAGCAACTTGTTTATCTTAATGAATACACCTGATGATCATGATAGAGGAGTTGAAGCCTTTGTAAATTTGAATGAACAGCACATGTCTGTTTTCAAGAATGACAAGGACCTCCTCCAATTTGCTACTCCATTTTAAGGGCGTCAAATGAACAGGTCAAAATGAACTAAGTTAATAACGCGTAGTTTACTTTGAAAGTTAAGTCAAAGTGTTCTATTTTACTTTGAAAGTTAGGTCAAAGGTGTTCTATTTCTAGAGTCTGTAGCACCTTTTTGAGGTGCAATTTTTCATTTTCTTTTTATCTGTTTATGCATTTCTGTTGTCTTGTTTTGTTGTTTTTGGTTTGTAATTTTTGGAATTTGACAATACGTTTGTTTTGTTTGCAACAAATTTTACAGTGATAGAAAAATAAATTGCAATCATAATTAAAATATGAAGAAACATAATTTTATTCATCAAAGATTGTGAGTACAAATTTGTTGATTCCTTTCTCATAAGATTGATCTATGATTCGAGTGTTAGTAGCGTGTTTCACGAACTAGGATAATATGTGGAAAATAAATCAACCATAAATAAAATTTGAAAAAATAAAAATATTTTATTGATAAACATGTAGGTACAATTATGTTCCTCCTTGATTCCTCTCTCGTATATTTATCCATGATTCGGGGGCTGTTAGTGACGTATTTCTCAAACTAGTATGATTGATTTTGATCTCTCCATGCATATTCCATTAATTTGCAAAATATTCAATTTATATAGGCATGAACTAGGGTATATGATTGAGTCCCTTTCACACTTTCATTTATGCATTTTTGGTATCTAGTGTTGTTTTTGGTTTGTAATTTATGGAATTTGACTATACATATATTATTGGAGTTTTTGGTTAATCTTTTTTAAAAAATAAAATTAAAATCTCTACTAAAATTTATCAATCAGAATTTGTTATATGTTTGGGGGAGATTAAAAGTACTCAATTTTGGTATATTTAGAGGATTAAAATTATTTAAGAAAGTATTTCAAAGAAGACTTTGAACCTACCGCAAACATAAGAGATTATTTTTTAAAAATTTTCTTGTTAACATATTCTAGATTTTTTATAAGTGAAAATTATAGTAACATGATTATTAGATACATTGTCTCACGAAAATTTTGTTTGACCGTTTTTACTCTGATTGAGCTGACTATCACATTTGACTTTAGGCCTATATACAAATGTTAATGGGACGGGTTTCAATCTAACATTTTATAGAAATATCGTTAAAGACTTTAGCTATTAATCTGGATGTAATGACACTAATTCAATTGTCGCTAAATGTTTTTGCAACAATAATAGGAAAATCTATCCCCACTAAATTAAATATCTTATTTGAACATTCATCTTCAATTTATTCCGAATTTTGAACAACTCAATTATTTTGTGTTAGTGTGACATTTTGATTGTACTCCCTCTGTCCTTTTTTAGAGTTGGGAACCTAAATAGGCCACAAAAACATAAAAGTGACCAAAATAAGCCATTACTTTAGAAAGTAACTAAAATAAGCTTAGTGGAAGAAAAAATTCCACTTTATCTAATATTCTAAACGTTTTCCGTTAGTCCCATAACGTGTATATTTTAATATATAACGGAACTATTTCCTACACTTTATAAAATGGAACTATTTCTTACACTTTATAAAGTGTAAGTTTTTCTTACACTTTGTAAAGTGGAACTTTTTCT